ATCTCTTTTCTCAATGTTACCCTGATGATCTCTTTTCTCAATGTCTAAGTCTTTTGTTGTTTAAACAGTGTTCAAATAGTTAACTCATAGCTTGGAGCCTTAGTCTCTCTGTCTCTCTCTTTCTCTCTCTCACTCGCACAATGAGATAAACATACCTGCCTTATCCGAGTCAATAGATAGCTTCAAATCAGATGACTACAACCATATGCAACTCAAAAACTTGCTGCCATTGAGTCAGTTCTGACTATAGTGGCCCTACATAAAACTTCCTGTAATTGCAGAAGACGGTGACGATGCTGGTGGCCCATAACTCCTTGTAAACAGGGCAGCACATCTATGTTAGAGCAGCAAGGTTGGTTGTAGGTCTCATCAACTGATGGTTATTACTTTTCTATCCACTTTCGAAAAGTGTAACTTTCTTTGCTCTAATTTTGGCATGCAAAATGTATCTTAGTGCCCGCACCTTCCAGCTCAGGATTCATTGACCCAAGACTCTAGGGTGCTTTCAGCTGGTACAAGTCAAGGAGGGTGGAGGAGAGATTTGCTTTGAAGGTTGTGCAGCACATGTGAAGTCCCTGTTGAATGCTGCTCCAGCACAGAGATGATCCGCTCTCTTTGTTTAGCTGAGAGCCACCAAGCGGGTCTGGTGGCAGGATCCAGGGCTGCTTGAGGGCTAGGTGGGTATCACACAGTGGATGTCATTCCGAACTTTGGTCTGGGGCCAGTGGTGAGCAGTAAGAGGGAAGCAGCCACAGGGTGCTGTCTTCCTGATGTCTGTCTTTAGGACTCCCTGATCATGGCCAGAATGCTGCCAGTCCCACAGATTCCTAATGGAAGGGGGAGAGCCCGTTAGGATGTGAAGAGGACAGAATTTGGAAACTGAAGACCTGAGTTCTTGTCTTAGCTCACTTAGCGATGAAGTTAGATTGAGCAAGTCACTTAGCCTCTCAGCACAGTTTCCTCATTCCTGAAATGGGAGCAGTTGGCATTAATGCAAACGTCTTGTAGATGGTAGAACACGCCAGAGGTAACGGTGGACAGTGGTGCTGTTGCTTTATGGTTGTGTCTGTCATGAGCCAGGCATTACGCCTGGCTCCTCCCACTCTCCCTCCCCCTGCCAACCAAGGCAGGAATGAGGCAGGTCCAGAGGGGGCTCAGATTAGAATTCATGTTTTAATGTTCCCTGATGAGTAGAGATGACTTTCTAGAAGAATCCGGGTGTAAAGGAAGCCTAACCCTTGAGCACATGGTACGAGGATTTCTGAAACAGGTGGTGATGGGCCTGTTTCCCTCTCTGTCTCCATGCTCATGCCCTCGCTCGGCTTTTTATGGGAGACCAGGCTGCTGCCTGCCAGATGAGGTCAGAGGATTGCAAGGGCTCACCGGGGAGCAGGAGCTGGGAATTCAGAGGCTGCCTCTGGCTGGGAGGTGAGGGGGTGGCAGGGGTGGTGCAGAGTTGCCCGGCTCTGGGAGCAGCCCAGTCATCAGGCTCTGTCTGCTTCCTACCTGGCTTGCTGGCGTTCGGGGGCTCTCTGAACCTTTGGTGCTCAGCTTCTCCCACACGCAGAATGCAGGATGCTCTGACTGCTGGAGAGGTAGAGTAAGAATACTTGTAGGCCTAGACACTTCTGTTGTAACTGTTCTGTTATGCTGACTTAGACCTGCTGGTCTCTGGGGAGCCTCCACACTGAACTTTGAGAAGGAACTAACTTAACACTGCCAAACAGAGGTGATCTGTTAACTCTGTCAGAGAACACAGTTTAGCTGTCTGAATTAGGAGCCTTTAAACATGTCTCTAGCCTTTGATGGAGTAATTTTACCGCTGGGACTTTAACCCCAGAGAATGACTTGCATAAAAAGTCTATGCTATTAAGTGTATTTTAGTTACAGTGAGGAGAACCACCTAAAAGGTGTAGGAATGTCAACCTTTCTAGAAGGCAGTGAGGTGGTGTACATGGTTAAGTGCTGGATTCTTGTTCGATGTGGAGATACTTGGGTTTACTTCCAGGCCACTGCGATAAATGAATAGCACAATAGAGCAAGTCACACGAATTGTTCTTTGTTTCCTAGTGCATATAAAAGTTCTGTTTATAGAGTTAGTCCTGTGGACTAATGAACCCCCAGATATCAGTCTCCACACCCTGAGACCAGAAGAACTAGTTGGTGCCTGGCTACCCCTACCAAAACTTGCAAAACTCACTGCCACTGAGTTGATTCAATCTCATAATGACCCAATGGGCCAAGGTAGAACTGCCCCTGTGGGTTTCTGAGGCTGTAAATCTTTTGGGAGCAGGACAGTTTTTTTTCTCAAGGAGCAGCTGGTGGGGTCAACTGAACTTGGGGTTAACGGCATAGCTTCTTACCCACTATGCCACGAGGGCTTCTGTAACCCCTTTAAAGCTACCAATTGCTTTTAAAGGGATCACATTGGAAGGTCCTGGATAGAAAGGAGGAAAACTGTGGAGAGAAACCAGACTCATTGGCTAGATAGAGACAGGACCTTGCCCTCCTCACCCCAAGACCATGGCCCTTCATCACCCTGTCATGGTCTGGAACTGAATTCACCTCCCTGTTAGAAAAGCCAGCCATTTAGGGTCAAAGGGCAGCATCTATCCAAGAGCAAAGCCAAGCGAGCTAGGAAAAGAGGCAGCATGGAAACGGGAAGTACAGGATAGAAGTGGCGTCAACAGTGATACATTGAGGGGATTGGAATGAAACAAAATGGGGATTGGAGGGGATTGAAGTTGAAAGAAAATGTGCATGAATTGTTGAGTGTAAAATGGATGATCCACTGTGGTTTTAAAGTTATGTTAATACACTGCTGTAGTCGATTAAGGACACAATGGCATTATGCAAAAGCTCGGAAGGGTGTGAGAATTACTGAAACGTGACTTGGAGACTGAGTCACTTGCTGTGGGAGAAATGGGGCTGATGGGCTTGTTCGATGCAGGGTTCCCACAAACCTTCCACTGGTTAAAACAAAAACAACAACCCCTCAATACCTGGGGAGCACAATGCGCTGCAGTGCAATGAAAGGAGGTGTCTGTGCTGGTCCAAGGGCCAACTCCACCTGCGTCTTCGCAGACAGACCTAGAGGGCACAGCCTCAGAAGCCTTCCCGTGCCTTGTCTGCCCACACGGGGTCACCAAGAGTTAGAATCCCCTCGACCGCAGCAACAAAACCACGTGAATTGGGTCCTTTAGCATCTAAAGTGATGCCCAGAACACGCGCATCCAGCAAACATTTTTGAGTGGTTATGTGGAGAGCAACATTTACATCCATATGATAAGACTATTCTTCACCTATTTCAAACGAAAAGTTCTTAGTGATATAGGCAATCTCTATGTTAATAGGTAGCCAAAAGAGAAGTTAAAGATTTTAATATAAATTATAATCACAATTTTTAAAAAAAGTAATTGAAGAAAAGGAAAGCTTGGAACCAGATGTCCAAATATCTCTCGAATTGGTGAGGTCACAGGTGATTTTGTTTTCTTAATTTCTAAAATGCTTACGTATTTTGTGATTTCACATTGTGATATGTGTTTTGAATAACGTGTGATTCCTGGTGGTGTAGTAGAATGTGTTGGACTCTAACCTCAAGTTCAGTAGTTCAAAACCATCAGCTGCTCCTTAGGAGAATGATGTGGCTCTCTGCTCCTGTAGAGATGTACAGCCTCAAACACCCACAGAGGCAGTTCTACCCTGTCGTATCGGGTCACCATGAGTTGGAATGGACGTGGTAGTCAGGAGTTTTTGGTTATTTGTAAAAGGAGGTGTGGCAGTTACATAATCTTCTGTCAACTTGTGAAGCATGGAGTTTAGCCTATCAATCAGGTCACAGCTTGATGACCTCATTTGGCGGCGTGAAAAAGATAAATAGCTCACTAGAGGCCAGATGTACAGACATTCTGCCTGTCTTCTTGCTGACAAGCCACATGGAGACCCCTGAGGGATCCAGAACGCTGGAGCTGGAGGAGCCACATGAAGATCCCTGCCAGTGTGGAGATGCTTCCACCACCACTGCATCCACAAGACTTTCTACCCTCTGGTCTTGATCTTACTGCATTTGGTGTCGTTGCATGTGTTGTGTGTGTCTGAAGAGGAAAGTATAGACTGGTATCGGACATAGGGGCTAATATTGGAATTAGGGACTCGATCTGGACTGGGCTGGGATGTTTTCTCAATATACAACTGCTCTTTGACATAAAGCTCTCTCTTATACACGAGTGTCCTGGATTTGTTCTCTGGTCACCCCTGACTAACACAGGAGGAGGCCGCCTTATTTTATTTGTAGAGCAAAACACAAGCTTCCGGAGTCAACTACTTGGGGCCCCGAGAATGGGAACCACTTCTCCCTCTTCCTCCTCCTCCCCCTGCCCCTCTCCCCTTTGTGGATGCACAAAACACCTACACACTTTGGTTGTGCCTGTCAGCTTGGCGAGGAAGCTGATCCCTTCCAACTTCAAAAGGGTATTAGAGACGACACAGTGTTGAAATTGTGCGGGTCATGTTGCAGAGACATGCCCGTACATTTATATGCCATCAATGAAGTGAAGACATTTTGTATAGGGAGAAGAATTTTAAGAAGATAGAATTTACTGGGTGGGTGGCTAATTCTTAGAATTCCTTCCTTGGTTCACGGTGGTTGGAAGTGGTTGAAAGGGTGCCATCTGTTGTTCTTCATTCTTGTTTCAGCTCGCGCCACCTTACAGTAATTCCATGTTCCATGTCTCAGTTCTCTAAGAGGGAGTGTTCTCTCAGAGCCAAGACTTCCCTTCGAATGAAAATCCCCGCATTTTAGGTGGGCTTTGGCGCCTGAGCTGGAAGATCTTGTTTTTTTTCCACTGGATCAAAGGCCTGTCAGAGAAGACATCTCGCTTTCCCTCCCTGGGAGGAAACTTTGATGACTAAGGGGTCCTCTAACATTACTGACCTGTTGTATTTGTGACCCCATCCACTCACATGCCTTCTCAGTCCTGGTCTCTTTCTTTTCTCTTTAGCCATAACCAGCACACCACAGTGTTTAAGCATCCTGTGACGGGGCAGTTTTCTCCAGAAAATAGTGACTTCATTCTTCAAGAAGAGTAAGTATTTTTGTCTGTTCTCTATATCCAGTGGAATTTGGGAACTTAAAGGCATTTGTTCAAAACAAAGCTTGTTGAACCATCGTTTTTCTCAGAAAAGAGGGGCGTGGAGTGGGGTGGTTGATTCAAGGGGAAATGTGGGAAGATTTTTATTTTCAGTCTCCCGACTTCTCTCCATGGGAAGACGCAGAGGAAGAAAGATGGGATAGAGACGTGCTGTGATTGGTGGTATCATTAGACCCTCTCGAAAGCTCTTGGACTCAAAGAGGCATCCTCGAGAAGACCCACTCCTCTTGTGTGAACATTTCCTACACGGATCCTCAGACCCAGCCGAACCAGCCTCCCAAGCCAGGCTCCAATAATAACAGTCCAGAGCCACAGTGTAGACAGAACTGGGCTTGGGGAAAAGAGCCCAGGTGGTATCGAGGTTCAGTGCTGGGCTGCCAACGGAAGGGTGGGCCGTCTGCTTCTATGAAACCCCCTGGTGCCCTTCTGCACTGTCCAGTGGGGAATCGACTCCCAGCAGTGGATTTGGTGTTTTGGTCTTGAGTTTGAAGAGGACTGGCAGCACCCACTGCCCCTGAACACTCGACCTGCTGTCCCTGCCGTAGGAACAGTCCTGCTCACCCGCTTATTGCAGTGGGGCTTCTGAGGGTGCTCAGAGCCAGGTTCTACCACCCAAGCCTGTCTATCTCAAATGCGTGTGCATCTCAAGCAAGAAGGGTTCCTTTCTCTGCAGGGAAGGCTGAGAAGTGTATAGGGTGGCTCTGCTCTCTCCGTCTCATCTGAGACATTTCTGTTTGAAATATGAATCGAGCGGCGTTGACTTTCCGGGTTTTTTTTGGTTTTGTTTTGTTTTTTAAGTCATTTTTTTCCACTGCCAGTCACCTAGACCAAATTTAATCTTAAAATGAATTGTTGTTATTGTTAACAGCTGTCACGTCAACAACCAGTCCATGGGGTCATGCCCATGAGATAATGCTGCCAGATCCTATGTCAACCCACCATCACTTGTGGGAGGGACCATCGTGATCCATAGGGTTTTTGGTGACCGATTTTTGGAAGTAGATCACCAAGCCTTTCTTCCTACTCCCCTTAATCTGGAAGGGCCATGGAGACCTGGTCAGCACCATAGTAACACACAAACCTCCACTGACATCTAGTTATCAGGTGTGCATGAGGTACATTGCCAGGAATTGGATCTTGGTCTCCCACACTGAAGGCGAGACTTTACCACGGTAGTCTAAATAAATGTCAGGCAGTCCCAGGCTTACAAATCACAACTCACCTATTTGTAGGTGAGTTGGGACCGGCACATATGCTTCTTATTTAGCCCTATTGTAAGAAAAGCTCCAAACCTTTCCAGTGATTTAAGAGCTGAACGTGCTACAAGTGAAGGTGATTGTGATGAAGAATTGGCTGCTAGTAGGAGTTGATTCGCTGTTTGAAAGTGAGGGGAAATTTACATAACATGAAAGGGAGACTAAGAATCATTATGATTTTTTTTAATGAGTTATTCTTAACTGAGTACTTACTGTATTGAGGGCGCTTCAAAAAGTTCATGGAAAATAGAATGGGGAGATAATGGAATTTTCCCACAAACTTCTTTGAAGCACTCTCATAGAAGTATTTATATGTTTGCAGCATTTGCCTCTCCTAATACGTTCAAAGTTTTTATTGTGGAAAACATCAAACATATGCAAAAGTAGAGGGATGGTAATGAACCCAATGTATTGATTCCTCACCCACCTTCCGCAGTTTTCCAAAGATGGCTGCTTTTGGACTCACCTGCATTTTTTCACTCATCTCCTGAATTATTTTGAAGCACATTTCAAATAAATCACTTTATTTCTTCAGTATTTTCAGCTTAGAGTCCTTAGCCTACGGATTGCTTAAAGCGAGACAACACTGACATCCATTGCCAGTTTCCAAACTACACTCTGCCATCGAGTCGATTCAGCACAGAATTGGACTGTCCTTGTGGGCTTCTGAGACTGCAGTCTTTGCGGGAGCAGATCGCCTCCTCTTTCTCCTGAGCAGTGGCTGGCGGGTTCAAACCACTGACTCTGTGATGCACAGCCCAACAAGTAAGCCACTATGCCACACTGTGTAAAATGCTTTGCCAAGGATCGGGCATGCATATATCGTTTAAAATAATCATCCTCAGGGGTAGACCTTGAGCACCATTTTCAAGATGAAGAAGCTGGAATCTCAAAGTAAAGTCACGAGCCCAAAGTAGCATGGCTGGGAGTAAAAGAGGTAGGTGTCACCTCAGGCCAGCCATGCTCCAAGGTCTGTGCTGCCTTGGGGTGGGGAGAGAGAGAGAGCGAGAGAGCGAACTAATGGCTGTCTTGTCTCTTAGACAGCAAGCATTTTTTTGTGGAAAGATAGAGCCAGAATGTGGATTCCTCAAATTCCTACTTGAAATGAGTTTATTTATAGAATCCTAAGGGTCAGGCACTCTTGGGAAGGCATTGAGCAGACCCCTTCCTTTAGATGGCTTGGAGACAGAGGCACCACCATTTTGAAAAGCCTGGGTGGAGGGTGCAGTGGCACATTAGGAAGCTAGTCACTTCGACAAGGACTCAGAGTCTCCACCACTACCTGCCACGGTCACGTGGCCCTTTCCTTTCCTGCCTCACAGCAGCCTTTGTTTCTTACTGAGGCGGGTGCCCCTTTGGCCTATCTCTCTATTCCTGATTGCGCCCATTTTCCAAAGAAAAGATGTTTCCGCTTGTCTAGGTTCCCTTTCCTCTAGATCCCATTTCATGAAGGAAATAGGGATGCTTTTCTCCAGTGGTGGATACAGCTGTGTGGCCAGACAATCCATAAGACTGTGCTTTAGGTGTGAGTGGCGGTACTGGGAGGGTAGAGGGAGAGTGGGTTGGAAAGAGGGAACCGATTACAAGGATATATATATGTGACCTCCTCCCTGGGGGATGGACAACAGAAAAATGGGTGAAGGGAGATGTCGGACAGGGCAAGATATGACAAAATAACAATTTATAAATTATCAAGGGCTCGTGAGGGATGGGGGAGGGAGGGGAAAATTCGAGGAACTGATGCTGGGCGCTTAAGTGGAGAGCAAATGTTTTGAGAATGACGAGGGCAGTGAATGTACAAATGTGCTTTACACAATTGATGTATGTATGGATTGTGATAAGAGTCGTATGAGCCCCTAATAAAACGATTAAAAAGAAAAGACTGTGCTTTAGGTATAAAGAGGATAGATTTCTGTGATACATATTCAAATATATAGATTCCTGCATATGTTGCATGTTTACTAAGTGAGTGCCTACATTATGTCAGGGCTGTGCTGGACTCTGCAGTTATCTATGGCAGCAAGCAAGACAGACATGCCCCTGTTGTTACTGAGCTGCTTATTGAGTCAAACCATACCGCCATCGAGTCAATTCTGACACACGGCGACCCTACAGGACCGAGTAGCAATTACCCTGCGAGCTTTCAAAATTGTAAATCTTTATGGGAGTAGATAATTATATGAGAGACCACAGGCTTGGGAAGCAGTCGTGTTAGAGAAGGCATAGGGTTCAATGGGAATCGATACAAGACAGCTCTCACCTGACTTGGGAACCATGTGAGCGTCTCCCTTTCTGGAGGAGATGCGGTTAAAATGGCGAGCTGTCCATCAAGGAGGTGAGCAGTCTGGGCAAAGACCAAGGAAGGATTGAGAAGAGCATGCGGAGGGTGGAGAAGGCTCCCTGCCCACCGAGAAGCCCAGATGTCAGAAGCACCCCTGAATTAGAGTGAACAATGAAGAGCACAGGGTGGATTCTGACATGAGTTGGGAGGTAAAATTGCTATGTCTTTGGGTGATTTATTGGCTTTTATGGAGCGGGAAGAATTTCTTGAAGGGTTTGGCTGGAAGACGAGGGAGGAATTAGATAACTGAAAATAAGTGAGCTTGCGCATGCGTGTGGGGGGTGTCATTCCAACTGGGGACAATGCGACCAGTCTTGGTAGGGTCAGAGGGCAAGATGACTGACTTGCAGTGGAGATTTGTAGTGTAAATAGAAGGTTGGAGACAGACTGCAGTCAACTGTCTAAATTCCTTCCTCCAGAAGACACTCCTGTTTACATCCTGGGGAACTCTGGAAAGTGACTGAGCCATCATTTCTCCTCACAGAAACATTTGCTTTAAAGTATGAAAATGAATGAAATCCCCGTTTTGTTCCCTTAAAATTAAAAACTACATCCACTCTAGGTTCTGATTCAAAGAACTTACAAGACAGGGCAGAGGTGCTCTCTGAGTTTCCCCAGCTGTCCATCTGTCCTGGAGCAGATGACCTCGTCTTTCTCTTGTGGAATGGCCGGTGGGGTCCAGCTATGGACTTTTTTGGTTAGCAGCCCATCCATCTCACCTTCACTACTGGGGCTCCTTTTGTTTCCGTCACAGAACTTAACTTGATTGTGTTGTGTGTTATATAGTGAGAATGAAGGCTGAGTTGAGATGGCCAATTAGGTCCTTAGAGACTAAAGGTGTTGTTTGGAAAAGAAAAATGGTCTCTCTCCCCAGCCCCGACTACTCCAAAGAGGGCTAAACATTGGGAGTTAGAACACATTGAATCTTCTTGCCTAAGGCTCCAGCCCCAGATTTTTGGAGCTAATTTTCTTGGAGCAGTGGTTCTCTGAACCAGCATCATATGGGAACTTGTTAGGAATTCACATTTCATTCCCATCCCAGGTCTTTTGAATTAGAGACGCTGGAGGGTAGGACTCAGTAAGACCTTGGCCCGGCCCTCTGATGTGTGGCTGTATTATGAGAACTACTGATTTAGACTACTTTCTGTTCCCAGCCTCCCTATGTAGGTCAGTGCTGGGTCATTCCAGCTCTACCTGCTGCTGAGAATTTGCCTTTCTATCCCAACTACACCTGTCAGGACACACATTTTAACGTGATCTCATGACAAGTCCTGTAGGTTCTCAGGTAATTCATATGTACGCAATGTCACATGGCCGACCATGCCTACCTTCAGGGT